AACGTATTCACTTTTTTATTTTCCGCTATTTCCCAGTGTCCTTGATGTTTTTATAATGGGAAAAAGATGAGAGCCTGAGACCCTATAGGCATCCCGGGCAGGGCTGGGGGTGGCCCCAGGGAGGGTTTGTGGAAGCAGCGGAGGGTCACTAGTCAGGGATGGAGCCATCCTGCCTGTTTGTGCCTGTGGGGCTGGTGTGGGCACCTTGTCTCCACGGCCACCCGCACAAGCTGTGGGTTTGTGCTCCCTGCGCCGACTCAGGTGGTGCTGGGGGCCAGGCGGACCTGGAGGGTTGTGTTGTTCAGTGCACTGGGTTTTATTATTTTAATTGTGGTGAAACATTTATAACTTGAAAGTTACCATTTTAACGGTGTGTAACCGTTCAGTGGTGCGAAGCACATTGTTACTGCTATGCAGCCATCACCACCTCCCCCTCCAGAACATTCTCACCTTCCCAAACTGAAAGTCTGTCCCCAGTCAACACTAACACCTCCCACAGCCGCCGGTACCCACCATCCTCTTTCTGACTGTGGGCATGTGACTCCCCTAGGGACCTCGTGTGAGAGTGGGATTTGTGCCTACTCGCTTCAGCCTTCGGGACAGGGAAGGATGCAGCCCGCGTTTTCCAGCTAAGGGATGGGCCCGGATGGCTGCGGGCCGTCCCAGGGGCACATGCGCTGCAGACCGAGGCCTGTTGCTGGGGCTCTCATTGGAAGGAAGCCTGGGTGTCGGAGTCCGTGTGGCTGACTGGTTTAGGTTGAGCTAATTTTGTGTGACGTTTTGTTGTAGCAATGATTTGGGGTTGCTGGTGAGGCCTCTGCCTTCTTCCCTCATTCCTGTACTAATCAGCCAGTGACCTGATTTTGGGATCTGAAGGCGCTCAGACCCACTTGGCTCTCTGGATACCCCTAGGTTTGTTTGCCTGCAGGCACGCCTGTTTGCAGGAGCAACGCAGGGGAGAGCATGCCTCCCAGCATGCATGCATGCTTCGGGGGTGGGGGACAGGAATTTGCTCTGATTCAGCCAAAATGTCCTGTGGGCAAGGACCATGGCCCCAACAGCTGTCCCCAGGGCTTGTCGTGGCTTCTGTGAAACCATGGGAGGCAGCCCAATGCCTGGGTTCAAACCCTGCTCCCCCGTTGTTCTTCCATATTTGTGTCTACCAAACAGTAAGGTGCTAGGAAAAGCACCTCCTCCATTGGGTGGCTGTGAGTACTTAATGGGTTAACATGCAGAGTGCCTACTAAGTGTCAAGGAAGGTTTGCTCTTCCTGAATCCAGCTACTTTCCTTTTTATTTTGATGGTTATAGAAATATCACATGCTGGTGTGAATTGATGTGATTTGAAGTGGGGTTCAGGAGCAAACGGTCAAGAAAGAATTCTTGGAAAGTTTTTCGTGCAAAAAGAGTGGTTTTATTATAACACAGGGACCGGACCCGTGGGCAGGAAGAGCTGCCCCTGGGTTGTGAGGAGCTATTGATTGTATACTTTGGAGTTGGGGGAGGTAAAGACAATGCAAAGTTTCCAAAAGGATTTTCCTATCTTAAAGACTCACAAGATCCGGAGGCCTGGCTGTTGTCAAGCTAAGGTTGTCTTTCCTCTAGCAAGGCATTACCATGAAGATTGGGAATTCCTGGAGGAATATTAAACGCTGCCTGTCTCAAGTATTTGTCAATAGGCTGCAGGTTATAAGGAAATCTAATTTTATCTACATTTCTTTTGCCTTTGTTCCTCACATCATGAATGACCTTCACATTATAGGAGGGCATAAAAACCACGAAGCCCCTGACCTTCCCCCAGCCCCAGCCCTTCACATCCCCAGCTAACACGACAGCATTAAGTATTTGATGTGTCCCCTTCTGGATATTTCCTCTGCGTGGGAACGTGCGTACGTACATGTGTTTCTGTAAGCTGGTGGGGTCATGCTGATGTAGCTTTAGAATATAGGTGAGGTTTGGTGGGGTAGGGTCCAGAGCCGACAGCCAAGGAAGAATTCTTGAGACGTCTTTGGTACAAAAAGGTGGTTTTATTAAAGCACAGAGGGGCGCCTGGGTGGCTCAGTCAGTTAAGCGTCTGCCTTCGGCTCAGGTCATGAACCTGGAGTCCCGGGATCGAGTCCCGCATCAGGCTCCCTGCTCGGTGGGGAGCCTCCTTCTCCCTCTGACCCTCCCCCCTCTCATGCTCTCTCTCTCTCTCTCAAATAAATAAAAATCTTTGAAAAAAATTTCATTAAAGCACGGGGACAGGACCCGTGGGCAGAAAGAGTTGCACTGGGGTCATGAGGAGTGGCCCGTTATATACTTCCAAGTTGGGAGGGGGTTAGTGATGTAGTTTTAGAATATAAGTGAGGTCTGGGGCCGACGACCAAGAAAGAATTCTTAAGATGTCTCTGGTGCAAAAAGATGATTTTATTGAAGCACGGGACAGGACCCGTGGGCAGAAAGCACTGCTCTCCTGGAGTTGTGAGGGGTGGCTGATGATATACTCAGGAGTTGGGGAGGTCAGGACAAAGGGGGTGTTCAGAAGGACTGTCATATGCTAAAGACTCTCAGGATACTGGAGGCCTGGTTATTGTCAAGCCAAGGCTGTTTTCCCCTCTAATGAGGCACTAACATGAGGACAGTTGGGAGTTTCCTGGAGGGATGTTACCTTCCTCCTATCACCTGTACTTGTCAGTGGGCTTTAGGTTTAGAAGAAATTCAATTTTATTTACCTTTCCTTCTGGAAGCTATTCCTAAGGCTTTTGTAAGTAAACTGAGGGAGACTCCTGTCCTGCAAGACTGTGATCTCTATAGTTAACCGTTTGTTTTTCCTTTAGGGCAGCCAGGAGTGCCTGAGGAATGTCACCCGTGCCACATTGGTGGTGGTGGGGGGGGGGGGGGGGGGGGGTGTAGGGCACCAGCTTCTGCTTTGTCCTCAGCAAGCCTTCTGCTCCCTCATCATTAGGGAGAGCGAAAGTCCCTAAGGAATTTCGGAAGCAAGTTTTCCAGGACCTTGAGGGGCTAGCTGTTATTGGGAAAAGGTCATTTATTACCATCTAATAAAACCTGGTCATGAGACCCTTCAGATGTCTATCAGTGGGCCACATGCCTGGGGGACGATTGCCAACATGTATCTTGGGGGGGTAGAGATAAAGGGAGTTTCTAAAGGAATTTTTATTCATTTTTTATTTATGAAGATTTCATTTATGTATGTATGTGTGTATGTATTTTAGAGAGGGAGAGAGGGAAGGGAGAGAGAATCTTAAGCAAGCTCCACAGAGCTTGGCACTCAGCACAGAGCCCAACGTGGGGCTTGATCTCACGACCCTGAGATCATGACCTGAGCCAAAATCAAGAGTTGGATGCTTAACCAACTGAGCCACTCAGGCGCCTCCAAAGGAATTTTTATATGTTAAAGTAGATTTACAGGATCCTGGAGGGTCAGGCTAAGATTGCCTTTTGCCCTTAGCAAAGTGTCAACATCGAGGCAGCTGAGTCCCTAGAGGAATGTCACTCTGCCTGTTTCAAGGACTTGTCAATGGGCTTTAAGTAGTAAGGGAATTTAATAACTTTTCTTCTGCCTTTGTTTGCCACATCAGTAGGCACTTACCTTGTTCCACTGTTTTGCCGTAAGGCATATGGCGGGGCAGATCTTGCCCCTGGAACCCTTCTATCTGGAGGACAGCCTGGTGTGTTTACAACGCATAGGGCTTCTGGCCCCTCTGGCCTAGGGGTTTCGAGGTTTCTTGTCCACCCATATCCTCTGTAGCACTGGGTGCTATCGATCTTGCTAATCAATGCCAAGTGGATGGGTAGACATGGTATCTCACAGATTTCTTTCTTACTTCCTTGATCAGTAGGGAGCCAAGGATATTTTTGAGGGTTAAGAGGTCACTTGTATTTCTTTTTCTTTGAACTACCTCTTGTTTTCCTTTTGGGAAACTCATTTTTTAGAAAAATTCTTACTGGTTTTCATAGTTGTTGGGGCTGTTTATGTTGGAGAGGACCAGAACCCCAGCTCCCTGCTTCATCAGCTGGAGGAATGCACTGGCCACACACACTCAGCTCCAGATCCAGGGATTTGGATTTCCGTGGGGCTCCCTCTCTGTCCTGAGTTCCTCTGTCTCTGCATCTTTCTCTGGTCCCCTGCTTTGTCCTTAGGCTGGCTGTATTCATAGAGGCAAGCCGGCTCACCAGTTCCGGTGCCTGGGATCTGTTTGTCTGACCGTGGGAGGAAATTAATGTGTCTGAAACCCCCGTAACCAGACCTGGAGGCCGTCCTCACTTCCTGCCAATCACTGGGGCGAGGAGAAATGCCAGGTTCTCATTGGGTCAGGCTAATCAGGGCCCGCCCCACGTAGAGGCAGGTGGAAGAGAGACTGGTCAAAATGCTCACAGTTTATCATCAAAGGGGAGTGACCCCGGGCTGGTGCGTGTGATGATATCCTTGCTGCTTTGGTTCTTCAGCCATCAGTTTGTTGGGGAGGAAGAATTTTTCTCTGCCCTTCAAAATGCTTCTGGCTGGTCTAAGAATTAAACTGACATGAGACAGATTGACAGGAGAAAATCAAATTTAATTTCCACACAATGAGAGATTGCAAAGACAAGTGAAGGGAGGTGTATATGTCACCCTGAACTCAGGAGAAGGGGGTAGGTGCCTGGAAGAGGGGCTGAGCATGGGGCACCTGTCCCTCAGAAGAGAGGAAGAAGCACTTTGGGCAGGGAGGGGAGTGGCACGTTCTGTTCTGGAGACAGTCAGGGCCAGGCCACTCTGCCGATGCTGACATCAGAAAGAGCTAGACGCTCAGACTGCACGTGCTGTTTTGGGGGTTCAGCCCCATCCTTGGGGCTGGGGCCAGGGTCCTGGGTCCCTCATGCCCACCCAAGAGCAGAAATTGTACCCAGGGAAAGTGCATGATGGGGGAGAGGGCTGATCTGCCCAGTGTCCTGGGAGGATTTTCCTCCGTGACTTCCCTTACTTTTCCCTGAGACCTGACCCATGCGCATGTACCTTTGTAGATTCTGAGAACAACAATCCTGAGGCAATGCCGGCCCCAGAGGAAAAAATGGAGCATGGGCAGGAGCTGAGAGAGGATGGTGGCCCTTTCTTGTCCCAGGGCTCAAGTCATCTCCCGCGGGAAGATCTGGATGAGCCCCCTTCCAGCGTCTCCTTGGCCCGCCGAAGAGTGAGTATGCCTGGTCCCTGGTAAGGCAGGTCTATGAGGAGCAGTAACTGCCTGTTTCCCACCTGCTTGGCCCGGAAGCTGCTTCTGTTGTGGTTGCACCAGTTGCTGAACAAGGCCCCCTGTCCTTACTGTATGGCTCGCCGTGGCCCCCCAAATGCCCTCCCCACCCAGCCCTCTGACAGCTGCACACTGGGCCGCCGCAGGGCGGCCCCTTCTCTGTGCCTGGTTGGCCGCACGGTGCCTGGGATCCTGTTCTTCCCGCCAGACCCAGCCGCTGTGTCTCCTACGGCAGGGACTGGTGGCTGGTGTGGCCGGGCTGGGTCTGGAAGCCTGAGCTGCTGCCACGTGCGTGTCCAACGCCTCCCCTCTGGACCTCTTTGCCTTGACGGTGCTGGTGCTGAGGTGTCTCAAAGCCACAGAGACAGGGTTGGTGCTCAGGGAGTACGCTGGCTGCCCAGACACTCCTCCCCGGAGAGTGGGGGGGGTAGCTGGTGCCAAGCAGTCTGCGGTCCCCCGCGAGTGTCGGACCCCGAGCATGTCGGGAGCCCTGGGTGAGGCTGGCAGGGAGCGCCCTGGACAGGTTCAGGGAGAGTGGCGGGAGAGAAGATCCCGTACTGAAGATCAGCCTGTCCAGACCCAGCAGGCCTGTGGTTTCCTGCTGGAGGCCGGGAGAGGGATGCTGTCCTTCTGGGTCGGGGTTGGGGCTGGTGTCCTGTCTGTTCTCAGTTCCTTGTGGTGGTCAGGTCAGCGGGGGAAGCGCTACAGCAGGCTGAGTCCTGGTGAGTGTGGGCATGGTGTGGGGTGTGCGTGGGGGGGTGTGAGTGTGGGAATGCATGGGTGAGGGGCATGGTGTGAGGCTGTGTGAGTGGGGGTGTGTGTGTGTGGTGTGTGTGAGGAGTGTGTGTGGGATTTGTGTGGTGTGGGTGTGAGTGTGCGGTGTGTTTGTGACGTGTGAGCGGGGGGTGTGAGATGTGGTATGTGTTCTGTGCGTGTGTGTCCTTCCCCTTGGCAAGTCAATGTCCAGAGCTGGGTGTGGGACAGTGAAGGTTTAGGTGAACTCTGGAAATGGGCGCTGAGGGGCGCACACCCACAGGAGGGCGCGTGGCACTGTGAGGGAGCCTGGTTCTGAGCCCAGCAGGACTGGGTTTTCTTTTTTAACCTTGAAGTAAACAGAGTGAGTTTAAAGCTCTTTTGGAAACAAAAATGGGCAAGAATAAGCCAAGAATACTATGAAAAAGGAAAATCTTGAGTGGGACTTACTGTACTAAATCAAACAAAAACGTGGTACAAAGCCGTAGTCAGCAAAATAGTGAATTCTGGGGGCGATTGCTGCACCAGAAGAGACAGTCCTGAGTCAGAATCTCGTATGTACAAGAACTGTGGGGGGAAATACATGTAAATATTTATCTGATCTCTGAATGGGGAAAGATTTTCTGGTAATTAAAGCAATGGAAAAGACTATAAATGAAAGACTGGTGGTTTTGACTTAAATACTAAAAATCTCATAGACTATGATAAGCACAAATGAAGAGCAAACAATCTAGGAAAAACATAGAATATTCGTATTTACATAAAAGTATTTTAGCAAAGAGTGAGTTGCTTCAATATGTCAAAAGCTCTTAGAAATCAAGAAGAAAACAGTAAACAACCCAGTAGGGAAAAAATGGGTCAGTGGTAGATTGTAGTCTATAAATAAATGGCCTGTAAATTTATAAATGTCCCACCTCTGAACTCAAACATGGAAAATAAAAAGAACTGCAAGCTTTTATATGAAGCCTATCAAATTAGAGAATTGATTTAAAGTCAGCATTTGGGGCAGAGTTCTCCCTACACCTGTGGGTAATGTGGTGGGACCACCCAGCAAAACAGGTGCTCTTCTTCTCTGATTTCATTTTGAGAAACGACCCCAGAAAGGCATCTGAAGTTTTCGGAGAGGATTTAATCACAGCCGGAGCTTCTGTGGCCAAACACTGGAATCCTCCTGAATACCCCACCATGGGCAGGGCCTTTCATATTGTCCCTAGACCAGAATGGACTGTGACCTCCGACTGCTTTTTCTCAAAGATTGAAGCTGTGGAGAAATTCTTGCAATCAGATCATATAACTAAATAAATAAAAAGATAAAAGAAAAAAAAACAAACCCCAAGTATGGTAAACGGATACCAGCAAAAACGGCAGAGAAGGGGCCTTCAGGGGCCTGTCCCTCCCAGAGGAGCACCAACCAAACTGAGCAAAACAGTCAGCGTAAGCTTGTTTGCACCTTTGGAAAGTCTCAGGAGCAGGAGACTTAGCCCTGGTGGCAGAGCTTGGTTTGTGGGGTTTCGGCCTGGCGCCACCCCCTCCCCACACAGGGAGTCTGAGGGTGCTGCAGGCTACTGGAGGGGCTCCCTGCCCCCACCAGGGGAGGGAAGTGGGAGTCACTGCTCAGAGGGCATGGGGTTCCTTCGGGGGGGATGAAAATGTCTGGAACTAGGTAGCGGGGTGCTTGCACAGTGAGCACCAAATGCCACCGAATTGCGCACTTGAAAATGGTTCATTGTATGTTCCGTGATTTTCACCTCCATGTCAGAAAGCTGTGTGTGGTACTGTCACACAACAAGAAGGGGTTGAAAACAAAAGCCTAAATGCACACATTCCCACCCGGGAAGGGAAGCCGGAGTGCGGAGCACAGGCAGAAGCTGGTGAGGTCGTCCCTGGGAATTCGCTCACGGTGGCCATTCCCCCACCCTCTAGTGACCCTCCATAACCCCATGGTCAGACAGCGTGTACGTGTGGTGAACAGGCTCGTGTGTGCAGCCGGGGTGTTCCCATGGGGTGGGGGGACTCTGCCAGGGAACCAAGAGTCGGGCCCCAGGCTAGGACAGGAGCCTTTATTCGATGAGTCCTGAATCGGGCAGCCTCCCACCCAATAACAGAAGGAGCTCCAAAAGGCTGAGTGGAAGGTTTTCTTAAAGCAGAAAGGGGTTGGAAAAGGAAATTATTAGTAAAGAATGCATTGTCTTCAGGCAAGGTTATACTCCTTGGGGGTCACGTGGAGGGCTCGGTAGGCTGCTTTCCTACAGAGGGTGTCCGGGAGGGACGGCCTCAGCCCAGGGGTGCTGGGCGGAGGGCAGGAGGAAGGGGGTGTCTGCGGAAGAGGAACATCAAAGCAGGAGAGGACAGCAAGGAGGCGTCTTGACTGTGTCTGGCATTTAGTTGATGGACGTGACTGAGTGACAAGAGGAGGGGTCTTGCCACGTGGGGAAGCACCTGGGTGGTCAGAGGAGGAGGGACAAATGGGGGGCAAGGCAAGTTTGAGCAAGTTTAGGATTGGCTGGTCTGGATGATCTTGGTGGGCTCTGGGCTGTCGGGGTGTCGCTCGTCATTTTGTACCTGGCCCTGGGGTGATTTAGGGCAGAGGAACAGTGGCTGAGGGAGTTGGGTGCGGGTGTGGGCTCTGCACTGGCTGACTTGCAAATGGAAGGGAGTCTTCCACTCTCTCTAGGGGTGAGTTAGCCCTGGGAGCGGCAGTCTCCAGGATTAGCAAGGACCCCAAACTGTCAAAGCATCATAAGCTGTAGAAAATAAAACACAGGATTAATACCAGAGGCGGGAGCAGGACAAGTATGGGATGAGGCAGGCAGGGAGTGAGCAGGGGTCTCCCGGCCACACTTCGGCTATCACCCTGGGTGAGCGACTCTGACCACTTGAACGCAGTACAGGACCAGGGAATCCTTGTGGAATGGACGAAGCCATCTTGTTAGGGGTTTAGTGTCTGTCAGGCTCGGCCTGCACCATCTCCTCCAGGAAGCCTTCCGGGCTAGAGACCACCTCTGGGCGGGGCTCCCAGGGGCGCACTCCGGGCCCTGCACGGGTCCTGCTCTCCAGCGGCCCTGGCAGCGGCTCCTTGGAAATGCAGACTCCCAGGTCCCCCACTTTCGGTCTCTCAAGGTCCCGTACGAAAGGCTTGCGATGTCAGAGTGTGATACATGGAGGCCCATGTATGCTTTGTAACATGCCGAGTTACCATCTGCATGTTAGCGAGTGTTTTAGCACTCTGTACGCCCATGGATGTTGGACAAGTTATTGCCTTAGATAACCTTTTTTTTTTTTTAAGTTTTATTTATTTAAGTCATCTCCACACGAACTCACAACCCCAAGATCAAGAATCGCATGTTCTTCTGACTGAGCCAGCCACAGCCAGGTGTCCCTTAGACGACCTTTTTTTTTTTTTTAAGATTTTGTTTATTTATTTGTTTATTTTAGGGAGTGAGAGAAAGCGAGCAGGGGGAGGGGCAGAGGGTTCCACAGAGTGTGGAACCCAACGCGGGGCTTGATCTCATGACCCCAAGATCATGACCTGAGCCAAAATCAAGAGTCAGCTGCTTAACCAACTGAGCCACCCAAGGCCCCCCGCCCTGCCCCCACCTTAGATGACCTTTTAAGGCCTCTTTCCTGCCACCGTGATGGTAATGGGTGTCAGTTGTCAGATAGGCTGGGAAATGTCCCTCGAGGGCTCAGCACTGGGGCGGCCCCTGTGTCCTGCTGGTTGTTGTGGGCAGATCTTGGAGAAGACCCAGGACCTGACCCAGACCAAGGCCACCACGCCCCATGGGCAAAAAAAACCCAAGTTCTTCCCTCGGTGTCCCCAGCAACTCAACCCAAGCCTGGGGCTGGTGGCGAGTCTCGGGTCCACGCTGTGTCTCAGGGCATTTACCGGCCACTGACACTTAATGCACCGACTACTCTTCATTTGCTCCAGAGCTGTAACCCAGGTGAGGTAAGGCATTGAGTCCCGGCCAGGTCCGCGGAGGGGACTGCCCAGCTGCTCCCCACAAGCTGTTTCTGATTCCAAAGCTGGGAGCACTGGCCGCTGAGCAAGGATCTCCAGGCCAGAAAGGGCTGTTCAGACTCCCGTCTGCTTTCGGTCTTTCAAGGTCCCGTAGGAAAGGCTTGCGATGTCGGAGTGTGATACATAGAGGCCCATGTATGCTTTGTAACACGCAAGCAGCACGCTTCCAGGATGTCCCGTGGGAAGCAGTTCCCGGGGAGGTTCTCAGCTTTGATTTGGCAGAACGAAGGGTGTGGTGGGCACTGCTCGGCCGCGTGTCCTGCAGCTCTGTCCACTGCCTGTGTCCATTTGTGTCTCTGCTTCAGTCTTTCCAAGATAAAGACGTGGCAGATTTGACAGATATAAGGGGGTTTGGTCAGGCTAAGCTTGACGGATTTGAGACATTGAAAGGAAATTGGAGGAGAGTGTTGGGAGAGTGTAGTGACCCTAGGAAATAAAATGAGTGTCTCTTTTGTTTAGAGCAAAAGGAAGAGAGGGAAGAAGAGAAAGAACCAGAATGCCTCCACTTCTGCAGAGCTGGACTCCTTGTTGGAGGCTTCCTCCATCCCCAGTAGTGTCAGCTCGCTTGCAAACCCCAGCTTCCAGGACTCAGCCCCACCCCAGAGCCGGGCTCCGCAAGGTGGTCAGACCAGCCAGCCGAGCCAGCCCCCAAGCGCCACCCCGACGCCACAGGAGGATGGTGACTGCCCAGAGCCCGTGGGGCATGTCGAGGCTGGCAGCAGCCCTCTGCAGGACCAGCCCGGGGGAGGTGTCCTCCCGAACGGGAAGGACCATGACACCCCCGAGCCCTACCAGGGCAGAGGCCCCCCCCAGGAGGGGGCTGGCCCAACCACCTCTGCCAGCAAAGACTGTCCTGGCAAGGAAGGTGCTGCTCAGGAGCTCCTGCCACCTGAGTCCAAGCGGGGCTCTGAGCCCAAGAAAGAACCACAGACTGCTGCGCAGCAGGCCGGGGCCCGTGCGTCTGGGGTGAGTTGTCGGGAGTGATGAGTGGGTCTGCTGTGCCCGGACAGCGGGCTGTGGCCAAGCAGCTCTGCCATCGCCTTCCTGCGTAGGAAGGGCACCCCTGGGACTTGTTCCCTGCGATGGTGCCCCTCCCCCCCAAGCCGCTGATCCCTCTCGCTGGGCTGGTGGCAGAGCTGACCCCTACGCCATCGGGTCATCGCCTGGGCCCTGACGTCTGGGGCCTCTGTCTCCTCCAGGAAATTGCTGCTATAGCCCAGCCGGCTGAGCCGGTGGGAGGGGCTGGGGAAAAAGTGAAAGCCAAGACTCAGAACAAGAAACAGCCGCCAGCAAGTGCCCCTGCTTCCCCAGAACACCGCCAGGTAGGGCATCTTGTTCTTAGAAGCCTCCATGTCCTGCTGTCTGTCCCACCATCTGCTCCTTTGGGCCCCGTTCCTTCTAAAGTTCATCCTTTGTGCAGTCATTTGGTGATTCTCTTTTGGGTGCTAGGGATACAGCCATGAAGGAGACCTGACTCCTGCCATCATGGCCCGCCTTCTGCAGGGGGAAAGACAGAAAGCAAAGTCAGACATGGCGAGAACCACAGAGAAAAGCAGGGTGCGGGTGGAGGGTGCTGGAGGTGGGTGCTGAGAGACCGTCGCCAGGCAAGGCCTCCCCAGGGAGGTGCAGATGGGGCAGAGATCTGCGAGTGAAGGGCAAGCCATGTGGCTCTCTGGGGACATGTCCCGGGCAACAATGGCAGGTGCAAAGGCCCTGTGGCAGAGTGTGGTGGGCCTGTTTAGGGAACAGGAAGGAAGCCAGTGCCCCCAGGAGCAAGTGAGGGGAAAAGGGTTGCAGAGGGACTCTTGGAGGCTGTAGCAAGTGGGTCAGAGGGCAATGGAAGGTTCTGAGCAGGGAAGGGACACAACCACTCTGGCTGCTTTGACAAGCGTTGACTGGAGGGGGCAAATGTGGAAGTTGGTCCTAAAGGTCGGGGCTCGGTTACTTGTTCCAGGAAGCTAAAACCAAGAAGACAGCTGTTACTGGAGACAAAGCAGGTGGAAGTGAGAAGGCCAAGCCAGAGGGTTCGAAGAAGCCAGAAGGGAATAACAAGAGTTGGGTGGCCGCTGTGAAAAATGAGAAGGAGCAACGGAACCGCAAAGCCGGAGGGTGTGAAGTGAAGGAGAGGTGGGTGTGAGCCCTGGCACTTGGGACAACCTGCCCCAGGCAGGGGACAGAGATTCCCAGGCTGCCCTTCTTGGTGACTCTTTTGGGGGCCCACGTGTCCCCTCTCCTTGCTTGGTGAAATGCTCCAGCACGCAGCGTGCAAAGGCCCTGGGGTCCCTGAGGCCATGTGGGCCTTACAGAACTCAGGGGAGAAGCTGGTACATCCCAGAGTGCTCACCAGCCCCCTCCCGCCTCGGCCCTCAGCCCTTCAGAGCTGGGCAGAGTTGGCCCCCCACCCTGTGGGTAGAAGCCCACCTTCCTGCTCCACCAGGGAGGGAGGCCCAGGAGGACCCACATGGCATGGGGTCTGTGTGAAGTGTGGATGCTCTCGCACTCTGCCTGGGTGTGTGTGAGGGCACAGTCGAGAAACGAGGACCCTGTTGTGCACGTGTGTGCGTGTGCGTGTGCGTGCAGGGGGGCAGGCAGATCTAGATCTAATTGGTGTTTCCTTTTACGGCTTTCTTCCAGCCCACTGAGTCTGCAGGAAGGAATCACGGTATACTTCCATGCAATCATCTCTAAGGATTTCAGCTTTGACCCCAGCCTCCACAAAGTGTTTGTCAGGGGGGGAGAAGAATTTGGGAAGACCAAGTGGAATTATAATGTCTGTGAGATGCACTGCACCAAGTGAGTGTACCAAGGGCTTTGTGGGGAATGTACAGAATATCCAGTCTTTGAAATATGTGGAAATAATAGTTTTTTTCAAGTTGATAACATTCTTACACTTTGGAAAACGACTGTTTCAAATATCTGTATAATGCATTTCTGTGTCATATGTCACCATGGCCCCTTTAATGTTGGTTCTGTCTGCAAACTATGTCTCATTCTAGAAGCATCCTCTTGGTCAGTAGTGATTTATAGCTTTGGGTCTGCACTCCAGGCTGTGTTTGAGGGGAGCTAAAATGTTCAAAATAGGAGTTTTTGAGGATAACCGGCTGGTGTCGTGTTTACTCAGAGACCTGCATGAGAACGGGTTCCTCGTGGAAGGCAGTGCTGTCCTGTCCCAGCAGCACGTGAATAAACCCATTCCTTACAAGTACGTCATCATGCGCAGCAAGGGCCACGTCGAATATGAGTACATCTACAAACGTCAGCAGAGCAGTGAGCACGTCAACCGCTGCCTGCAGGTGGAGGCTACGCTTCTAGGCTCGGGAGGTGAGTCGCTGGCTGGGCCCCTGGGCTGAGCTCAAGCGTGCAGGCACCAGGCCTCCCGAAGCGGCTGTTCCCCTGCAGAGCAGGCCTCCCCGGGGTCCTCTTCGCTGGCATGGGCCCAGCCCCTCCAGGCCCCAGCCTCCAGCTCTGCGTTGAAGAAACCTGCATTTAGAAGCCTGTTTTTGATCAGTGTAACAGAACCACTCACTTCCCAGGGGAAACCAGGAAAAGGATTTTTACTAACGGGTGGGGAGGGTGAAGCCGCTGGGGGTGAGGGGGTGAGCGGCTGGGCAGGGCGCTGGCAAGAAGGTGCAGGGCGGGAGGACGAGGCTGGAGCTGCGGGCACCCAGCCCCTGCCCCAGAGACTGTGAGCCAGACCCCTGCCCGCACCCACACCCCTGCTGCTTGGCGTCCTGGCCTCCCTCCACTCTTCTCCTTTCTCCTGTTTATGTCTACTTGCTTCCTTTTCTTTTCTGTTTCTTCTTTGCTCTATTTTCCACTCGTTGTATGCAGTGTGTGTGTGTGGTGTGTGTGAACATGGTGTGTGGAGTGTGTGTGAACATGGTGTGTGGTGTGTGTGTGAACATGGTGTGTGTGTGTGGTGTGTGTGTGGTGTGTCTGTGTGGCGTGTGGTATGTATGGTGTGTGTGAACATGGTGTGTGGAGTGTGTGTGGTGTGTGAACATGGTGTGTGGAGTGTGTGTGAACATGGTGTGTGTGAGCACGGTGTGTGTGGTATGTATGAATGTGTGTGAACATGGTGTGTGGAGTGTGTGGGGTGTGTGAACATGGTGTGTGTGAATATGGTGTGTGGAGTGTGTGTGAACATGGTGTGTGGTGTGTGTGTAAACGTGTGTGTGTGTGGTGTGTGAACATGGTGTGTGGAGTGTGTGTGGTGTGTGAACATGGTGTGTGGAGTGTGTGTGGTGTGTGAACATGGTGGTGTGGAGTGTGTGTGGTGTGTGAACACCGTGTGTGAACACGGTGTATGTGTGTGTGGCATGTGTGTGTGGTGTGTGTGGCATGTGGTATGTATGGTGTGTGTGAACATGGTGTGTGGAGTGTGTGTGGTGTGTGAACATGGTGTGTGGAGTGTGTGTGAACATGGTGTGTGGTGTGTGTGACCACGGTGTATGTGTGTGTGGCGTGTGTGTGTGGCGTGTGGTATGTATGGTGTGTGTGAACATGGTGTGTGGAGTGTGTGTGGTATGTGAACATGGTGTGTGTGAGCACGGTGTGTGTGGTATGTATGAGTGTGTGTGAACATGGTGTGGTGGTTGTGTGAATATGGTATATGTGTGAACATGTGTGTGTGGTGTGCCTGTAGCATATAGGAGTGTGTGGTGAGTGTAGTGTGTGTGTGGTGTGTGTGTGTGGTGTGTGTGGTATGTGTGGCATGTGTGTGGCGTGTGGCGTGTGTGTGTGGCATGTGTGTAGCATGTGGCGTGTGTGTGTATGTGGTGTGTGTGGTGTGTGTGTGTGGTGTGTGTGTGTGGTGTGTGTGGCATGTGTGTGGCGTGTGGTGTGTGTATGTGGTG